CCAAGTTTTTGCGAAATACCTTAATAGGATGTTGGTAAATGACAGTCTAAAGCATCCTGTAAAATTATGGCACCTGGTATACTGTCATTTTCAAGAAAAGTGGTATTTTTGTATCAATTTCCAACGCTGATCGGCCGATCAGCGTTGGAAACAACTGGCTTTTTTTCAAATACTGGCCCCAATTGACCATTGCACTTGTTTGCAATCGATTACAAACCTATGAACGGGTACGAGCCAGCTAGACTGGTTCCCTGACCTTACAATTCCCCAATGTATGTAAACTGCTCTGTTTCTTCTTATATGGCGTCAGGGAGCCAGACTACAGGAAAATGATCGTTTTTCTTGGTTTTTATAGCATTTTCGAACCCAAAACCTCCAGAAAGTCAGTGTAACTATATTTGCTTTATATTTCCAACCCCCCAATTCCATCCATTTCTGAAAATTACAGCAAAAGCAAATGATGTATATTCCCTTTAAGTGACTTCGCAATAAAGGCAGGCACTGCGTACACAACCATTAGCGTGTTAAAGTGGTCAGAAATTGCCTCAGATCGCACCACAGAGCATCTGGATTCCCCCAAAAATTAGGGGCCCCTTATACGCTTTGTTGTTTGGGTTCCCCCCCCCCCCCCATTGTGTTCTGGATCCGCCCTTTCAGTGTACGTGCTCGTTGTTCATGGATACGCTCGGTTGATCACACTGGGCTTTCCGTATGCATTATTGTGCACAGCGTATTACACGCATGCGTCCTCAGTGAAAACCGGCGGACAGGTGTCACGGTCTCACTTCTCCAGCGTGCTAGCTTCTCCGAGAGGGAAATTTCGCTTCAACACGCATACGCAAAATTGCGCAGTAGTGTACATTTTCGCCAATTTTATTGTGCGCAGTAGTGTACATTTTCGCCAACTTTTTTGGTGTGCTGAGTCTGGTGTTGTACTGGTGCACGTAAGATCTTGGGATATTTGTATGTATACGTTATTCACAGGGAACCAGTCGAATCCAGAATTTTCGTGGCGTGCGCAATAACCAAAAAGACCACGATTGAGCAAGGAGTTCGTTCTTAGTATTTATTCCCTCATGAAAACACACACATGACACTGGGAACACAAATCAGAATGCTTGCAAGACCATGGAATGACTTGACCCACAGGAAGTGTTACATAACTCATTCTTGGGTGTCCATCACTGTGTTATTAATGGACTTGGTAGACTTCACAACACAGCCCGAGGAAAAGTAAGCACAGTGGACTCATGAGCATGTATCGTGCTCATGTAACGTGCACTGTAACGTGCTCAATTATCCGCCGAATCCAACAGGGCTGGGAAGCTAGCACGACGGAGAAGTGAGACCGTGACACCGGTAAAGGTATCGAAAAACTATACCATCCAGGAGGAGTTTCAAGCACGCTTTCTTACTGCTAAAGCCCGCCGCACACGCGTACGATAGCTACCCTACGCGCTGAGCTACGGGCTGAGCTAAAAGATTAAGTGACCAATGAAAGCACAATATTCTTGTCTGTCGGTCGCGTGATTTAAAAAATGGGGACAAACGCCAACAGGCTTTAGAAGATTTGCACAAAAATATCTGAAAATTACGTATACAGAGTACGTGATTTCATTGGCTATAATCTTTTTAGCTCAGAAGGTACCTCGGGTTGACCGCAAACGGTAAGTTTTTCACCTCGCGTGGCAAAAGAATTCAAAAAGGATAGATATTTCCCTCACGGCCTCGCGAGCAAACAAATCACCGAACACGGGGATATTTTGTAAACTTCGGGCTGAGCAAACAGCCTCGAATGACTTTTTGCTCAGGACGTAGCTCTCGTGTGCGGCGGACTTTACGGCCTCTATGCCATAAACGGAGGCTGGGTAAGCACAAAATCGGCTGTTAAGCAGCGGATTGCCCATGGGCGGAAGGTACTTTTTGAGCCGTGGCATGAATTGGAGCAATAACGAATGCCACGTGATGTGAGTTCCACCAATCAAATGACAAGGATCTGTATGTCGGTTATATGAAAAACAAATAATGAATGTTTCGCATTCGTGCAATAGTGATAATCGTGGAAAGATGGAATGTTCCATTCAACTCGGCTTCGCCTCGTTGAATGGAACATTCAATCTTTCAACTCATGAAAATATTCTCACCATTGCACTCATAAACGTTCATTATTTGTATACTATTCAATGAAAATCACTTCACCTTGTCGCTCTGATTAATGGCTCTGGTATATTGCGTAAGTAAAAAGTTCGAGCGTGGCCTGATATTCACTCCGTTAATCTCAGCCGGGGGGGGGCGGCCCCCGTAAGATCTCGGCCATTGAGTGACGAACAATTTTGAAACTCGGTACATGCATAGAACAATTCTTCATGAACATACCCAAGAAATTTCATGACTATAGGTCAAAGGGTTTTTGGAATTATGGCTAATTAATTATTCATATGTACGAATGGTAATTCTGGTCCGTGTACACGACGTATATGGGAAAATTCAGTTTTCACGGCGCGTAGCGCAGGAAAAATTTTCGCTGCGCGACAACCCCTTGTCCGATTTTTATATTTTTGGTGTCAAAAGATGCGCAAGGCTCGAGGCTAAAAAGTCATAACAGCTCGGGACGCGAAAAAAAAATTGTTAAAGGCTATCGCGGAAAAAGTCGAGGGGGGGTCAGTTTCCGCCCCCGGCCCTTTTAGGGTTAACAACTGACGTGGCATGTGGCTAACTTTGACAGCAGAAAAAAAAGTTATTGTGTCCGAAACTGATTCATGCAATTCGTGGGTGTAGAGTACAGTCTACTTCTTTTCTTTTCACTGGCATGTAAATATGGGTCTCAGGCTATATTATGGGCAATTTCTTCCGAGGTTGAGGCCTTGACCAAAACTGAAGGGACAGTCCTCGAATTGAAATTCAGTTGTGTTTGACCATGCAATCAGCTCTCACCTTTTTGGGGTGATTTATGTGCGACTACACGACTTATGGAGACCAACACGTTGCTGTACAACATAAGGACCAATTGTTGCAGTGCTCATGAAAAACTGTTGATCTCTTTCACAACCTGAACGAAAATTTAGCCCATTTTTTTACACGATCAATAGCTACTTCTCCTGCACGCCATATTATAGCGTGTAATCAGCGAAAACAATACAAGCCCCGTTACTTAATATAGTTCACGTCTTTATTAAAGAAATAAAGCAAATCAAACAAGACGTACACTATCTAAATACGATTTATTCGAATGAATTTTCATTTCATGTAGATTAAGGATATGCAATAGGTTGGGCAAGGTGTATCTTCACAATAACTTGCTCGTCGAGGAATATCACACGGTAGCGATTTAAGCATCGTAAAATTATTAAGCATCGTAAAATTATTTAAAAGTTACCAAAAAGTTCAAGCGGTTGCAAAAGGTCTATTTGAAAGATTTTAAAATTATGACAAAATTTGTAGCAGGAAATGAAGTTGTTTTATTAAAAAACGCTTGTAACGAATGCTTAGTTGTAACGCAAACAACATCATAGACACGACCTAAACTGCAACATGTCATCTGTTAAGGATTTCCGCTAAGTTGATTTACTATAACGGCTAATGATACCTTTACATGAAGAGTTATTTTGTTGTGATCTAATTCAGCCCTCTTTTGTCAGTTTTATTCGCAGCATGCCTTGTACAAAACACAACTACTTATACTTATGATCTGGCAGAGATTGGCGAAAATCTGTCGAAATATTTCAAGTGTAAACTCAAAGCCAGCGGCGTAGCCAGGGTAATTCTCACACGGGGAAGTGGGGGTAGGGGACTGGATGTTATGTGGGGGCGCCCACTTTCTGTTAAACCATTAACCATGGTGATACACATTTCCAGATTGTTTAGAGGGAGCGTGCCCCCATGCCACGCACCCGTCTACGCCGCTACTCACAACGTTGTACCTAAATTACCGATAAGAACCTGTTTACAGTACAAATAGAAGTATAGGCTACTAAAAGCAAACTTTATAAAAAGCAAGCAGATGATGAAAATATTAACACCTTTTTGTTAATAAAAAGCGTGCTGTTGATACTCATTATTTGTTTCTCTGTACACACGATTTTTCCTTATGACTTGGGGGAATCAAATAGGCTAGCAATGCTCAAAACAATTGTGCAAGTTTCAAGCTACATTAAACGATCTTGAATAGGATCCCTTGTCTTTGGGACCATCGAACTGCAGCAATTGAGTAAATGATAACATAAGTCGTCCTATAATTCATGGGCGTCGCAGTGTTTTGTGCTTGTGCATGCCCACCTCATCCCCCTAAAGGTACGAGAACGTTATTTCCTATATGATGCCTCTCACGAAGAGCTGGATCGAGGTTGTAACTACTGCACTCTATCGGCGATTCCCAGAAACGTCGACGAAGTGAAGTGATATTCACAAATTGTAACCTTCAGTTGTCACATCAAAGTGCATCTTAACTTAAATTTCAACAGGTGGATTATTTATTCATGTCACACAACGTGTTTATCAGGAAAAAAAGTAAGTTATCAAAAAAGTTTTGAATGAATTAGCCCTCGGGCGGAAGTGGGAATTTTTCTACGATTACAGGAAATTTCGGGAGTACGTTCAAACAAATTATTTTCTTTTATTCAATTCTGTCATACTTGTGGGTAGGGTTCACAAAAATACAGCAATGAAATCGTTTCAAAACGTTTCAAAATGGTATTCAGGTAAACATTCCCCTAAATATTTGTTTTATCTATAGACATTCCCGGCCCCTTCCCGTTAAAATTGAGTCAAACGTTTTTAATGTTTATCTACGCTCACCTAGACCAATTCGTTTTGATTTCCGAGCGAAACAGTAATTACATTCTAAAAAAGATATATCTATTTTAACTCAACGCCTCGTCATCCTTGTTTGTAAAACATAAATTATGTGGTTGCTTTATAAAGCGTAGTACTTTATAATGAAGCAATTATACGTTAACATAACAAATCGTATGACAAATACAACACTTAAATAATTCCTTTTATTACAGCAATTACATGAATGTTCTTTGCATATGAATTAAAAAAGAAAGCGCAAAAAGAGTAAATTCTAGTCTTAAGCCTTTACTCGTAGATCGCCAAGCCAAAATATTAAAAGTGACAGCTTTGAGATACACATGTACTCTCTTTTTAACCTTAGACGGTAATTTTACCAATCCATAGATTCCTCTTTCGGGTCGTACTTGGGGCTGTTCTCAGAGTAGAACTGGGCGAAGAATCGGCGATGTTTCGCTATCAGATGATCCTCCTTCACAAACGGGGGGTTACGAACGTACTTCTTGTTGGCCCACACCGGAAGGTCACCCCAAATCTAGCAGAGGTAATCATATTATCATTAATTTCGAGGCAGGCAGTATATATGATGGGGAAGGCATCCCGACTGGCGAACATGTAGTGGGGATGGTGAAGCAAGGCTTGTTTGGGCAGATTAACAGGCAGCAGGATGAAGCAGGCCGGTGTAGAGTTAGGTATGGTAGCCCGTTCGCTATGAGGTCCGGACAGGACCATGTTTAATTAGTCTTAATAATGCATGTACATGTATCTGATTCAATTTATGCTGGGAACTTGTTGGAGTACAGGGTGAGTCAAAAAATCGAAACCCAAATGTCGGGACAATTGTTTAACTGAAGTTCTGCATGTAGTACTTTCAAAATCAAGGATATGAAAGCCCCATTCATAAGCTTTCTTTTAGTACAAGAGTCATTCAAATCACATGTACTTTTCAAGTTACGGAGTTTTAAACGCAACCACCGTTTTAAAGTTCTGGCCACGGATCACACAAAAGGTGTGTGTTCTTTCAGCAAAACGCCAATTCACACACATCCTTTATTTGTTTTCGTGTTGCTGAGAGAACACTGAACTTTTTTGTGATCCGTGGACAGAACCTTAAAACGGCGATTGTGTTTAAAACTCCGTAACTTAAAAAGTACATAAGTGATTTGATTGATTCTTGTACTAAACGAAAGCTTATGAATTTGGCTTTCATACCCTAGATTTTGAAAGTGCTACATGCAGAACTTCACTACAAAAATGGTCCCGACATTTGGGTTTCTTTTTTTTAATCGCCCTGTATATCCTAGGTTGATTTCATTATTTGTTTTTTGTACTCTGCGGCTCTTGATTCATATGACTTGTACAACAAGAAGCGAGAGTGGATCAATGTGGCTCCACAATGCTGGTCCTAAAGGAACACATACCAATGGGCCAATGATCTTCTCGCCAAAATGAGACGCAGTGATGACCTGCGTGTGAACTATGGTGATCAAGTGGAAGGACAGACACGACAGCAGGCCTACGGGAAGTGAATGACAGTAAGGGCTGACATGGCTGAGGAGGAGGAGTGGCGATAGGCGCGGTTAATTGGGAGGGGAAGGCGGAATTCTAACCTGGTAGTACTGTTCATACAAGGCCTTCTTGCCAATGTAGAATGAGATGGGTCCTCTCCGGGTATACCCAGTGGTCACAATCCTCTGTCGCATGGGTCCAGCAGGAGTGACGGTTAAGACCAATTGTAGCTCACCCAGCAGGGGACTGTCCATGTGGAAATGGGCGAAGCAGGGTCCTATCTGTCATGATCAATCAATATGCGAAACAGCATTTTATGCCTGTTTCCGATTAATTACCCTGTATAATAATTACACGGTTCGCTCCGCAAGCTTCAATATAAATATTAATATGTACACCAACGGATAACATTTTGGGTTCAGTTTAATTCACGAATATGGCATATTTTATTCGTCCTTGTTTCTATCGATTCATCTTACGTGGATGTCGACATTTGGCTTATATTATACAGCAGCTTACAGGTCCTAGTATCCCCCTTTTTATACTTTTTTTCATAAAGTTATATTCCGAACATCAGGATTGGTTTTACAATGAGCCTGATGTGGGAAAGTTCTCTACTCATACCTGCTCGATATGGAAGGTGTTTGCCGGCAGGTTGAGCAGATTAAAAAAATACGGGGGTTTGGTGGACATACGAAGTACAGCCACATGCTTGTCGGTAGGGTGTGGCTCCCAGCTGACGTCGGTAAAGTGGGCCTGACCAACGAAAGCCCTCCTGTCAGGGAAAGGGAAACATGATATTTACTTTACGAAAATCTAAATGGAAATTACGTTTTAAGTTTTGGAAGTTTTGTCACAGGAGCGAGGCCTCTCGACTTCGCTTGCTCCATCCGCCTCTATCCAAAGACATGGTAACCAGTTTCCTTGTGCTATCGTTGCATAGTCCGACCGCTGCCGTTAGGCTCCTCTTTAACAACTGGTGCCTAGACTACAATCAGACGGCGATATTGTCTTGGAACACTAAAGTTAGCACATTTGCTAACATGGAAAATGTCTGATATCAGTGAGAAAACCCTGTCTTCCTTTCAGGACGGATGATATAGCGAGTGCCCTTTTAACATCCAACCCCCAATCAAAATGACCTTGCTATATACGCCCTTGAACATTCAGTGTTTTGTGAACTATATTACACTGCGTTTCCTGAACAAGTTTTCGTGAAAGGGATTAGCGGTCTTAAGCGCCTTTGGATAAGGCGGTACATGGTAGGGGCCATGCCAGCGAATAGAAGAATTCCGGGGTGACTCAATAAGAAATAAACCTTGACTAATGTTTTTTTTTACACAAGCAATCAAGGTTGATATACCGATGAGATTATGTATTAAAAGAACATAAGAACTCATGTGAAAAAAAATCACTGAAATTAAACCATGCTCCCAATGGTTATGCATGTATTACTAAAGCCATGTTTACAGAATGCCATTTTGAAGCTCTGCGCAGTTCGGTGTCAGTACCAGAGATTTACACACATGAGATTTTAAGAAACTAACTGAGTTAAAATTAAAATATTATTTTTACTGCCAGATTTGGTTTTGTAATGAGCAATTAATCAAGTAGCTTTTTTTCTGCAATGAGAATGATGCTTTTTTCACTGTTTTCCTTTGGAACTTTTCGTTCATAGTTTTTAAAGGGTATTCATCAATGTTTTGGGTGGGGTAAGGGTAAACGTCCTTACTCGCGGCTGAGAAGCTGCCGTGCGAAGGACGAGGCTACAACGCGACCGAGCCGAAGGAATGTAAAGCAGCAACGAAGCTACGGGGGGCCGTTGGCGGGGGGGGGGGGGGGGGGCTCACTCCCCCCATAAAAAGTTGACGCCCCAGGTGCCCCCCCCCCACTGGAAATTGACATCCCGAGAAAAGCACAGCCGTATGAGTTACCATGATTAGCTGGAAGAAAATGAGTTCCCTTTTCCACGATTTTTTCCGCTTTATGTAGCCAAATTCCCATATTTTCCCATTTGACCCGTTCTATGTATTAGATAAGTTTGATTATGTTCCGGCAATAAAAAAAATAAACAAATCTCAGTGTGTTGGGTGATTACCCTTTAAATGAACCCCTAAGTTAAAAGAAAGTTGGCATTGGATACTTCGCACAATGTTTGCATTGGTAAATTTCATGCTAAAAAGCTTTGTTAATATACACCTTTTTCCGCGTATCCAATATGGACGCACTTGCCGTCTTCTCCCCGGTAACTCCAGCCATGGAAGGGACATTCGATACATTCACCGTGTACTGAGCCACCTATGGCCAGATTGGCGCCTAGATGAGCACAGTAGGGGTCAACGACGTAGGGCCGCCCACTTTCTCCTCGGAATACCACCAAGTTCTTACCTAGAAAATGAGAGGGAGCCGGTACTTAAATGGCCAATAATAATGAAAAGTGTATACCTTGCTTGACGTTGTGGAATCACTTAGTTTGCGTGGGGTGAGTCTCCATATAATTCATTTATTTCAACTTAGGTTAGTTTTTCAGTTGGCCTACCAGCAACGGCAACGAATTTGTGCTCCTTCTTCTTCAATTCAGACGACATCAGGATAGACATCCAGCCATTCGGGTAGACAGGGGGAACGTCTCCGACCTTCCGACATCTCTTCAAATCCCTCACTCGTTCCTCAGCCGATTTTCCGTCGGCTGGGCCGTCCACTAAATACGTATATTTGGTCTCATCGCAGTAGAGTGCCAAGGGCTCAGTCACCGCCTTGTACAGCTGAACTGCCAAGTAAGTCAGCACGGCAGCAAGTCCGTAGACAAGAAGAAACTTGAAGCCAGAACTGTGGACGACTTGGTTGATTTTCTCAGAAACAACCTCAGCTGAAATGTTGGCATTCTGCACGTGATTAGCGAGCTGCTTAGCTGAATCTTCAATGATCGAAGGACGGGTGACGAAACCTGCCAGGAAGACCGGCAGGATGAAGGATAAAACTCCAGCTTTTGAGACGGCCATATCTAACTGAACCTAGAGGTATCAAACATGGTATGGGTATACGGCAGTGTCTGATTTAAGGTGAGCGTTATAATGAGTGGCCACCTCAGTTATCTTTGATCGTTAATGGGACCAACAAACTTTAGGCCAGACAAAAATTGACTATTGTTTCTCATCTTGCCACGCATCGATTTCGATACTTTAGGTTTTAGTTGTACTGGCTTCTGTGAATATAGGCTTCACAGATATGTTTGCCGTACGGAGTCATTAAAAAGACCACTATAAAATTGTGAAAGCACGACAGCTTATGAACATCAGGCAGGCTTCTAGCGCACTTTGAAGAGTACGTATTTCATCGACCTTAACCCTAAAAGGGCCAGAGGGTGGAATCCGCACCCCCCCCCACCCGTTCAATTTTTCCCGCGATACCTTTGCAAAAAAATGCCCCAACCCAAGCTTTCCTGACTTTTAAGCCTCGAGTCTTGAGCATCTTTTGATACCAAAAACATAAATTCCGAGCATGGGTAAGCGCGTAGCGAAAATAATTACGGGCGCTATACGCGCCGCAAAAACTGAATCTCCCCATAATGTACACAAGCAGAATTACCATTGGTGCATATGAATAATTAATTAGCCATAATTCCAAAACCCTTTAACCTGTAGTCATGAAATTTCTTGGGTATGTTCATGTTAAGTTGTTCTATGCATTCACCGAGTTTCATAATTGTTCGTCACTCGATGGCCGAGATCTGAGGTGGTTAGGGGGTTGGTCAATTACTACCCTCTACGCACGTAGGTCACTTGCTAATGCATATTTATGTAACAGTTTTGGTACCGAGTTGGTGGGTGCCGAGTGGACAAGGTGCCGAAATGACCGGTTACAGTACAGTGGAGCCCTACCTTGACATTATTTTAAAAATATGGGCTTGTAAGCAGATGTTCCCTGCGGCTTTGGTTGTGCTTATGGCTTTCAGCAGGGGGGGGAGTGTTTTAACTTTTATTTTGTTCGGAGTCAACATTTATTGAGATAATTTCATCGAGACTTACATAATACATTTTAATGTTTTGATTTGAGATGTACATTGCCGATGAAATAGCAACGCAAAATGGTGATTAGGCGACTTTTTTCCGAGCTGCATACATACGTCTCGCGTGGACGGACCATTTATAATGGTACCGATAAATGAATAGTCTGAGTATCTTCCGTTTTTCAATGGAGCCCTCTCCGTAATCAACGTGTGATACATTTATGTGATCAAGCAAATGCTTAAGCGTAAAGCTGTAAAGTTGTGACGTCATTTCGATTAGAAACGTGGATTAAGCTGTTGATTGGTTAATTTGACTGCTATGTTTTTGTAATACTACAGCGGGTTATACCCGCTAAATGGTCAGAATCTTGAGGCCAAGACGCAGTCTTGTTTTGCATAATTAATCGCCGAATCTGCTTGCATATCATAGACCCTTGCTGTGCAAGGGGGTATCCCATAGACTAGTAACTGGGGTGCTAGAACTCCTTTGATTAGGTGTCGTCCAACGGGTCACAGAAGACTCGATATCATAGGCGCCCGCTGAATGGTCAGAATCTCGAGTTCAAGACACAGTCAAGTTACATAAATCGCCGAATCTGCTTGCATATCATAGACCCTTGCAAGGGAATATTCCACAGACTAATAATGAGGCGAGCTAGGCCTTTTTTTTATCCAATGAGTGCCCTCCCCCTCTTTTTTGTTTAACAAGTGACCTTGTTTTGAGGGGTTATTTTAAGTGTCATTTGGGGGTTAAAAAAGTGCCCTTTTTTGTACCAGTGGCCGTTACGAGTGACGGTTTAATCCACGCTATAGCGTGCAAATTTACGTGGAAACTAATTTAATCATTATTTGTTTTCCCAAAAACAAATCTCTACAACTAGCATTGTTCTAAACTATTTCCAGCGCAGTTCTATGGGGGCCTAGTCCAACAAATCTCCACTTTTTTGTTGTTATATTTTTAACGAATGGGTGTTCTTCTAGCTTAGTGTTTCTCCCCCACTCCTCCCTTTATTCTCTCACTGCCCCAAATTATTAACACTATCGGCTAACCTGTTTAATCACCTAAAAACTTTACTCTAGAGGCGCGTTTTCTGAAAGTTAAAAGTCTAGTCATCGCTCTAATATTTTTCTTATCATAATAACAGTTCTTAAATCTTACAGTCTTAAAAGCATTAAGACTTGTTTTTGAAGTTTATAGATGATCACAATTAAAGTTGTTCCTTTGAATGGAGAAATAAACATTTGCATTAAGTGTTCGGCTTTAGTTGAGGCCACATGTACTGTATATGCGATAAATACAACGAGAAAATGCCAGCAATAATTTACCTTGAACTGTCAAAGTACTAATATATGTTGTTTTGCACACAAAGTTTGACCTCGCAGTGAGGTTACCGTGATTGTTGGTATCGGGGTTTTTTTGTGCGACTATACAAATTACAGAAACAAACAACTTGCTGTATAAAAAGAGGACCATGAATGCCGCTGTGCTGTTTGGTGTTCAATGAGACAGCTATGAGGGCCGACTTTTGTACTACATGTACCACGAAGAGACAACATCTGACGACTGACGCGAAATCAGCAATGGCCATCCCACAAACTTGTCTCCGACGGTGGCATTGGGTGATCACGCTGGCAACATTCACGCTGTATTTCCTCGTTCTTGGACCGATGTTCAATTTCAGCATATTGTATTTAAGTCTTCAGGGCGAATTCAAGTCCGCTGCGGCAATAACAGGTACAAATCCAATTTTGTTTTCTTTTAACATCCAAGCAGCAAGGCACACAAACTTTAAATCCCTCTCTCTCTTTAATAGCGTTTTGTTCGGACGAAATGACCCATCAGGCTTGATGATAAAGTATTTTGGTTCGGTCTTAGTATTGAAAAAGGTGTCAAACAAATTTGATTTTGTGTTAGCCTCTGGAATTCTCTTAGACCCCCTTTACACAGGGTTCAGACATCGCCATGGTTGCCATGGTCGCCGTAAATGTTTGAAAATTTGGATGGATGCACAATGGTCGGCCAATGGTCGCCACGTAATAGATCCGTTCTGTTGCAGACTTTACCGTCAATCTGGGCGATATGCTTCTGCCTCCCTTGTGCCTCCTGTATTGAAGAAGAAAAATGTCAAGTATTTTAGTGACCAAAATGGCATCTAATTTGAGACAACGATGTTTCTTGGAGTCGTATGATAATGTATGTTCTTTAATTATGCAAATTCTTTGTATACATTTTGTGTGCAACATAATTGCCATTGACAGGTTGGTTGGGGTCTTTATCGGCCGCCTTAGCCCGACTCTTCAGTCCCGTCACCGTTCTGCTCGAGCAGAGGCTAAGCAAGAGGGCAGTCACGCTGATTGGGCTCGTGTTGTACTGCACAGGACTGTTGACGACGTCATTCGTACCGGCCCTAGGCTACGCCTTCATAACGTACGGAGTCCTATCGGGTGTTGGCGCCAATCTCACGCTTCATTCATCGCTTCAACTGTTGCTGGAATGGTTTGCGAAAGGCAACTTCGCCCGTGCGAGTGCAATCGCTTTGTTGGGATCCACGGGCGGTATGTGCATGGAATTGAACATTTTTTATATATATGTTGACAAATCCGCTTGTGTACAATCAAATTTGACTTTAGTATTCGATTTAAATATCCACTGATTATAAAAAAAAAAAAAAAAATGAAGAAGAAGATGCCACTGTTTTTTTTTTTTTTGGGGGGGGGACATTATCAAATAAAACCGGGTATGGATTTTCAAATATTACAAATCATTGGGAGAAGGTACATCTTTTTTTAAGAGTGAATTTTATTTGGTTTCTTCCAACGTGCAGGTTTGCTCGCCTTCAGCCCATTACTGACAGTACTTATAACTAACTGTGGGTGGCGCAATGCACTGAGAGTTCTCAGCGGAGGGATATTCGTGGTGGGCATCGCCGACGGATTGCTTCTGACCGATCCCCCGACTACAGAGGACATCTTCCCGCGGCAAAATAGATCCGAGGACACGGAACAGAATGAACACGATATGCAAAACGTACGGAAACGGGAACGGGCCGACGAGAGTTGTGAACAGGAGAACGAGGGAAAGGAAAGGACTGAGCTGCTAGATGACGCCATCGTGTCAAGCCACGAGGGTTCAAATACCAAGCCCGATTGGTGTGAAGTGTGGAGAATGATGCAAAGTCTGGAGTTATGGTTGTGGTCTGTTGCCAATTTCCTCACGTTCTTGGGATGGACATTTTTCGACATCAATTTTGTAAGTAGCATATTTACAGCCATTTAAAAAAATCTTTGTGCATCCTCAACTGAAGAAATCACACGGGATTGTTCCATTTTCCACCAAAATTGTGCAATAACTTTCCGTGGTACTTATTTACTGTTTACTAAAGTGCGCATGACAAAATGAATTCTTTAGAGAAAACAACATATGCAAACTTGTGACAAATGCATTTGGATTTAACAATCTTCGCCCCTCCTGATGCAGGCCAGTTACATGGACGGCCTAAATCTCCATAGCAACCAGATCTCCTACGTCATTATGGGCTTCGCCGGTGGGGAAATTGGCGGGAAATTGCTCATTGCGTTGCTAGGAGGTCGTCTGCCGTTCAAGTATCTGTATGTCGTAGTATCCTCGTGTCTTCTTGCAGCCGTTCCTCTGGGATTGATGACCATTGTCAAAACGTTCGCTGCAATAATGCCGATTGCAGTAGGTGAGTGTTTTAAGTGTTCAATCTCCGTTTTACCTTATTTTTTTCTGTAAATACCTGGCTTGAAGGAAAAGCATTGTGATAAGAGCTTTATATGTATTCATTAAAAGGCTCAGGAATCCCTGACGTAATCGTTGCTGAAGGATTGAAAGTTAAGAATCAAATAACATGACTTCCCAATCAAAATGGCAAAATCACTTGCGAGGACCTCTGTGTAATACTTTTCTTGTTGCTATATCTTCGGATATAATTTTTTCCCAATTGCACTATGGAAATCACTACCGTGGACCATTTCTGACAACATTTCTTACCGAGGACATCTGATTTATTCTTATTGCTCTCTAAGGTCCACGGTCTTCCTACACCCAAACACTGGTATAAAAAAACGAAGGGTTTTATTTAAAGACTAAAACACAACATCTGTTTCAGCATCTGGTTTTCTGCGATCGGGAGCGTATGGAGTACTGTATGCCGCGGGCGCAGAATTGTTCTTGGAGAAGTATGGACCCAGTACCGTCATGGTTCTAACTTTGGTCCCACCGGGGTTCGGGATCCTAGTCAGTGCTCCTTTATCAGGTACAGTACTGTAACATTGGGATTTTCGAAACCTCGTTCTCCTGTATGGCTTCGGCTCCATCTCAAGCTGCAGAAATATTCGAGCAAGCTACAATTTCTAAATCAAATGGGCACGAACTAAACTTAGGCAGTTTGACATGACCAGGCTCAGGCTCGAGTCGCAAAATTGTAATAACAATAACAGTAATTGTTGGCACTTTTATTTCACTCTTTTAAGCCTTCCTTGTTTTAACTGAACCAGTTGTTTCTTAATCATAATTTGAACTTGGTCTCGAGTCCATATGCCTGAGTCCGAGATTGAATTTGAGCCCACGTGTTACGGAATCTGACGCAGATAAACAGGGCTCGGTTTTTGACCGGTGTTTTTGACTCTGACTGAAGATCATGAGCTCGAGTTCAAGCCCGACATGAACCACTGATGTTCTTCTCGATTTGTGTTAGTAACACGTCTATTCGTATTTTTGTTCTCTTGCTTTGTTGTCAGGTTCACTGTTTGATGTCACTGGGAGCTATTTCGCCAGTCTTCTCGTCATCGCCGCCATCTTTGTTTGCGCTTCGGCGGCATTTCTGTTCATTCCAGTGCGGAGAAAGATTCGGTCAGGTGGTTCATGTTACTCATCCGCATCACGTGATCAGCAACATGAGTTACAATATCCTGAGGGTCAATGCAATCAGGTGACAATGTAAGCTGAACATTAGTGTGTCAGAAAACTAAATTCAAAGGCAAGGAAGCGAAGCCACTGCACAGGATTTGTTTTCCCAAAATATTGTATTCAATCTTTCACAATTATTAGTCGTCATATAAGTAGCTCTGCTTATTTAATTTCACGTTGAGATGGATATAAGTATAACCTGTTTGCATTCCATGTCAATTTCATGAACAGCGCCCCCTAGAATATCGTGATGCCTGCCCCCCCCCCCCTCCCATTTCCACGGCGCGCAATTTCTTGATTTTGCGGTCTGGTCATCCCCCATTTCCACCGCTCGTCGACACGGATTTACGCCACTGATTTTGGGCACACATCCATTATTTTAGTTTGTCTCGATCGTTTTATCGCCATGAATATTCGTGAATAGAATGGACGGTACAGTGCATCACCACGTGATGCACTCTCGTCTAATCAGGAGACAAAATTATGGGAGCGGGGATACATTTCATAATTTGGGGTAGGAAAAAAAGGAATTACAAAGATACCATGCCATCAATTCAAACTCTGGTCACTTTTTTTTCTGTGTTATGTTGGCCAAAACAGTCGAAGCAGTAACTTGAAGTGCTTTACTTATATATATTATAAAATACCTCATTCAATGAATGAACATATATGTGCCGCCTTTAAAGCGCTGGTTGGCATGATAATTGTACATGTACATGTATCGGCTACACTTAAAGTCACAATAAAGCATATTCACTTTCTCTACTTTTTGACAACACGAAAAATAAAACAGATGCATGTTCAGCTCAGAAAAAGTCTTGATCGTTTTTCTAATCTGACGGCGGTGCTAATTACGCATATTATACTCAGACACGGAAACTTAAGTCTGGCCACTTGTTTTGGGCTTTATATTTATCAGATCCTTCTTCAAAATACAATAAGACGTGACCTGCCTATGCTGATTGATGTTGCGGGGAATCGAGCTATCCATCCATTTATAAGAATGTCAATCTGCTGTAACATTGCAAGAGTCACTCGTTCACCGCACACAATAGTTAGGCAGCCATGTACGTTTGTTTGCGTTATGTCACGCTTTGATGTTCAAGATGGCGTACCCTTGATAAAGGTCTTTTGACTTATACAATTGCTAATACAAACAGCTTCACGGGCGGATCCAGCATTCAGGAAACATGGGGGTAATGTTAAGGGGGTGTGTGAGGAGGTTGTGACTGCTGGGGGTCCGGGGCATCCCCCCCCCCCCTCCGCCCTGAAAATTGTGAAATCTACGATGCTTTCCCCGCCATTCTATAACACTATTTGAGAATATAGGAACTTTAGAATTCCTTTTATCTTCTTTGGGCCCCATTTTACTGGTATCATAAATAAATCAGAAGCTCAGGGGCTGCATCCACCCCCAGATTTGGGCTTGATATGAAATAAATAGAGCGAGTGTTTCTCAAATGCTTTTTTCCGAATTACAAAATTTCAGGATAATAATTTCTCCCATACTAATTCTCTGTAGACACAGTGACACATTAACTGCTGATACTGCTCTTCACTGGAACTTGAGTCTCGACATAGTGCATAAGAAACTGCATACACAACCAAAGTACAAATTTCTTTGGTCACGATTCCACTATTATTCCAACTGTTTTTCAACATTCCAGTCAAAACTACTTCTTTCTGGGGATGTAAACCCTAACCCAGGGCCAGTTACGCATGACTATCCCCCTGAAAATCTTGAAGGTAGTCATTGCCCAGAAACTGCTAGCAATCGTTTGGTTTATGACAGATCCTTTCTTTTGCGAGTCCAGCAGGAGAATGTTTACTTACAGTCAGCTCAGAAGCTGCCTGATGTCATATGGACAAACATTAAATCCCTTGGATTGTCACGAAAACACAGGTCCCACAGAGGTAAGGGAAAAGGAAGCAACGCCAAATTCAGGTTGTGTCATCTTGCCGTGTTATCGGTCACAGAGTTAACCAACTGCGCGGTGTCAATCATGAAAACCTACGATACATCCCAAAACAGGACCACAACACAAATGAACTCAATTCCAGAATTTGTGTTTGGAATGCCCACTCCTTCAGGAACAAGTCATGTTCCACATGTGACTACATTGTAGAACATGACATAGACATCATTGCAATCAGTGAGAGTTGGCTGTACGAAGATGATCCCGTTGTCATAGGTGAGTGCACTCCTCCTGGATACGCTTTCCCCAGTGCAGCGAAGGAGTGGAATAGTCTGCCCTTTTCCATTCAAAATGCCAAATCTCTCGAGCAATTCAAGAAGCTGATCAAGACCAATTTATTCCACCAATAATCAATTCATTGTCTATGCTACCTGTTTTTATTATTTAACTTAAATTATTTATTTACTTTAATTGTTCATTATTTGTAAGCGCTGTGATTTAGTTGACTAAAAAGAGCGTTCTTAAATGCCGATTATTATTATTATTATTATTTTTATTAGACACACAGTACCTTCTAGCAACTAACACATAATAATTCTTAATTTTTTATAACGAGCATATTTCTTTCTTAAATTCGTACATAAAATTTCTCTTATTCGTTGTCATGTTCTAAATTTATAGGTTTTCCCGGCGAATTTCCGAATTTTTCTAATCAGTTTCATTATCAGCCATTCAATTTCACGTGAGTTTTGCACATGTGGTCAAATTTGGGTTTCTTTTTCATTTTGGGTTCATTCAATTTCATTTTTAGGCAGCCAAGATTTTGCTCTGAATGTTCGTGTTCGTTTTTGAGCATGCTATTTCGTTTTGGTGCATTCAACACTTAATTTGTAGCAGTCTTAAATTAAGTCTTTGCAACCTTTTGACGGTTGACGCATTCAAATAAGCGAACATCTGTGCGCTTATAACGTATAACCGTGCTTTTCGTTTCTTATTCGTTTATGGGCAATAGCTTTCATCGTATGGTCATTCAAATTAATAAGATGTTTTAATTGATATGTTTTTTTTATGTTCCTCCAAGGTTCATTCCCCCCCCCCCAAAAAAAAATCTTGATGACTGTAAAATTTACAATGTTACAAACTAACTGATATGAGGGAAACAAGATGTAACAAAATAATTAATTGAAAGTGACTAAGATAATTTATTTTTCACTGTTGATCTTGTCTACTTGTTTAAACGTCTAATCAAGGGGTATCTTTACGTCTTGCACTTTTTTGACGTGCAACACATCGGGACACGTGTGTTTGGCAACCATCGGGAACACTTCTCTTGCGTTATTTATGTTTTCTTGCGTTTGTCTGACCGAACACTTACCGTATTCAAAGGGCCCATGCAAAAGTAAGTTTTCAACGCAAACCTTGAAAATACATCTCTGTGTAACATTTAACCTTAATCGCAAGTTTTATTTTCCATTTTGAAGGGTGTTTTTTTTTTGCCCTCTCCATTTTTATGCTAATGCATGCTTTCACACGAATGTTTTCAATTAGCAAGTTTTGGATGAATAATTTGAAAGAAAAACCCCTAAACTGAACAGTGTCTCCCTGAAATGACATCACAGTGACAGCGCGCTCATAGGTAGTCCGAAAAAGCATGGAAACTTTGAAATGTTTAAAGAAGTGCACTTTTGCAATAAGATTTTCGAAAAAATGTTGTCAAATGTGTATTTTTTTTTACATAACAGTTGCACAAAAAGAATACCTGAGAACAATTCATTGCACATACCCTTTAATTAAGAACAAAGGCATCTACGGATTGAAGACATCAAATATGAGTTACGCTAAGGAATACGGACACGTATGAAGTCTTAAAAGATGTTTGACAAAATGTGAAATATGCTTGCCCATTAATGAAAACGAATGCCCGATCAACCCTTACTGCTGGTTATGACGAAATTGAATGAACAACGCGATAGTTTGAATATGAATGCATCTTTGATAGAGACGAGTGAAGATAAAAGGCGATAGAATGCTCGGATAGTGAAATAGAATGATTCTTTTTGATTGTCGAATGCCGATCTTCGTGATCTTTCAATTTTAATATAAATCGCATGAGCCAGGCGGTAAATTGACTGAAAACTTGGTGAAATTGGCCGGGAAAACCTATATTTTAAGTCCTTCAAGTACACAGGAAAAAGCAACCTTGCTGTACGACTGTCCAGATTTCCCTGGAGATTTGCCTTTCTTTTTAAAGTGTACTCCCAGGGTTTGCTTTTTTCTGTAAGTCTTACCAATCAGCTAAATATCTATACGTACACCCTGACTAACGATTAACCAGTATGCATTTTAAATGCATCAGTAATATAGATTCAACAAATTTTAAGAAAAAAAAGCTAATAATATTCATCAAATTTCATCCAAACTACCAAATAATTTTGAGTAGAGCCGGTATTTACAAGCATGAATATTTTCGTTTTGTTCTACGACAGAGCTACCTTTTGACGTTGAAATCATTTCACTCACTCGTCGGCAATGTAATGAGTCTGACTAATAGCAGCCAATCACTTCAAACCTCATGCTGCAATGGTTGTTCCATTCAGTGGGGTGAATGCGCAGGATTCTGGTGCGCAAGGCAAACGGTAGGCGAGTAGTTACCAGGGTGTTACTGTCCTTGTTACCAGGGAACTGTTCAAAAAAGAAGAATGGTGTGTTCAGCTTGTAGAGATTCGAATGGATTCATTATGTCCAGTGGCATATCCAGAGGAGGGGGGCAGGGGGGGCAGGGGCCCCCCCCCCAAGGATTTTTTGAAAAATATTTTGCTCAGTAAGTATTTCCATAAATGTTTAGAGAGTTCTGACATCAACCCCAAAAAAGAAAACCAGCTAAAAAAAAGGCATTACAATGCGCTGTTAAAATCGGCACATATTTTCCAGTATGCATAATAAAGGTTTTGAAGAGCGCCCTCATTTGGAAGATGGTCCTCCCCCAACACTTTTTGATTTTACGGAGGCCAAGTGTCGGAAAAAAAACACCATATCTATATTTGGCCGTGGATGTGCGGTTCCCCCTCCCCCCCCCCCCCCCCCCCACACACACACCCACATCATGAGCTGGATACGCTACTGATTATGTCGTAACATAGTCAGCAAAACAACTTTTGACATTTTGATACCTTTAAACATTTCTATTAGTCAGAAAGCTTAGACCCAATTTTTGACAAGATCGTGACCGACTGGTTCAAACCACCAAATTTGGCAGATAGATTGTTATAGCCCTAGAGTAAATATGAAGAAGGGAAGGGTGCCTTATTTGCATAAATCGTTAATCCCAACAGTGTAATATATTTTTCCCACTTTTAATTTTTTGAAAAGTATATTTTTAAATTTTTTGAAAAGGATATTTTGGGGATTTCACTTACACATCCTTACCTCAATAACATTTTCGAAAGCATTTAAGACTGACTGGATAATAATATGAGGACATAGTAACGATCCTAAATGGCTACTTTTATACTCTAAAGTTGCACTCATTAACGCTTTAATATGCAAATTAGGCACTCTTCCCAAAAGAATTTCAGGTGGGCACCCCTTCTAAATATTTTCTTTAGGGCTTTAATAATCTATCTGCCAATTTTGGTGCTTTGGACCAGTCGGTCATGATTCCAACCGTATGAAACCTGACTATATACCTTTATTGGTGTGCCGTCTGCATCAGTCACGTTATTCCAGGACTGACCATCTTCGCTGTACGTCACTTGGTACTCCTCCACCCATTGGAGGTGTGAGTTGTCTCCGCGCCCCTGGGTGATCAGACCAGTGATGGTGACTGTGCCATCGAAGTCAACCTGTATCCATGGACTATTATCAGTGCTGCCAGCGTTACACCATGCTGCAGCGTATTCTGTACAACAACAAAAAACCTAAGATTTCTTACTGCATTCAACGATTTAGCCATATTGCAGGAATCTGGCTCAAATTGGACTTCGAGGTAATGTTTAACAATGATCTTTGCCAATAATCTTTGTCTGACCCAACGTTAGACGACTACGTTGTCTAGCGTATCGTCCACGGGCGTCGCTAGACCATTTTGAAAGGG